AAATTCATAAGCGTACAATCGGTTGGCCACCAGGGAGGAGGGGGAGCTGCCGCACGGACCGCCGGGTGGCCCGCCGCACACTCTGAGTGTTTTTCCTTTTTGGAAAATTCAGTGCGCTTTTCGTTTATTGCGGTTAGGGCTTCCCGTTCCGCTCCTTTTTCCTGGCCTTTGCTCTGCAGCAGACTGCGCGCCCAGCGCCCGGGCAGGGCAGCGCTGCTTTCTGTTGCTGCCGCCGGGTGCTGGCTGCTCGCTGCAACCGTTGTGATCCCCGCAGGAAATCATCACAAAGGGAACGCCCCGTTCGCATAAAGAAACATGTCCGCCCAAACACTGCTCTGCTCCAGTCTGGTGGCTTGTGGCGTTGAGCTTCGATCTCGTTGTAATAGTTCCGTTGCAGATTTTGAGTTTGACTTCCCGTCTCCAGCCACTGGTCTGGTGGCATGAGCTCAATACTACTGCAGCTAGAAGCTTTCTCATAGACATACCGCGTTCTTAGTTGCCTTCAGCTTCGTACCTGAGTGAATAAATACTCTCTGTAACAAGACATGTCTGAGATCAACAACAGACTCAAGCATTGAGTCCTGACAAAACTTGTGCTAACTTCTTTTCATCATTATATATCTTACTCTGGCTATGTACCCAGCCTGCACCCTTTACTAAAGAGCCCAAGTGGGTGGGATAGGAATGAAACGGATTCAAAACGAGGAGAGTTGAGGGACCTACCTCCAACCCCGTGTCATCCATCCGGCGGCAAGAGAGAAGAAGTTTGTAAAATACATAAGATGTGTGGCAGCCTCCCTCTGAACTTTTGACCCTTATGTTCTGCTTGCTTGTAAAAGTCCATCAAGAACAAACACTCGCTTTTGTGATCAGAAAGGTCACACCTGAAACAAGAAACAGAGAAGAGTGGAAACCAAAAACCATCACACATGAAGCAACATGACACATGGAATAAGAAACATGGCCAAGAGGAAAATGCTGAAGAGGGGTTGAGTGAGGTGAATTGTAAAAAAACGGACCGACGGACGACACGGGGCCTTCATCCCCAAGCCATACTTTCCCTCCGTGAAAAGGGCCACAGATTCGAGGCAACTATGAAAGATAATCCCGACATATGCCATACGAGTATGACACACCCCGAAAGCTCCCTCACGAGCAGCCCAAGCCTATGCTTCCCTCTCCTCGCGCGGACCACCACCCAATCCTTCTTCCTACCGCGACTGTCGTAATAAGCCGCGGACCCATTAAGTAGCTGTTATGTCGTCCATGTCGTATGTCGTATATCCTAATCTGTACCAATATCCCTTCCTATATGCACCTCGTAAAGAGCAAAACTTTTTTTTTTCATGAACCAGAAAAAAGAGATTCAGGCGTCCTCAAGAATTCGACGCCGAACAGATGTGCTGATAAAAACAAATGGTGCCGCCCGCCGTCCTGGGTATAGTTATTTTTTTTCTCCGAAATATGCGAGTATGATGTTGATGTGTGATTTTCTGAAACCGAATGCACCCAGAACCGGCAGTAATACTTTTTGAAACAATAATGAGAAAATCCGAAAAGAAAACAAACACGTCGTCGGTCATTCGGCGGCTCAGATATCGTGTTCCTGAACCGGGATGAATGGCTGGTGTCTCGAAAAATGTCGTTCCGCTGTTCAATGCAATGATTCCGGGGTATCGTAAAAAACGCGCTTTGCCGTAATAGCCTCTTGTTGGGCCTGTGCCGATGTGAACTGGTCCGAACCATCTGAAAGTTTCCATCTCTCCTTCTTTTTCCTTCTCTGACCGACTTTAGCCATAAAAAAATACCTCCTCAGCGATAGCTTGGCCCTCCACAGGAGAACACCGCCAGAGCGGAGTCTTGAGGCATGGGCTGAGCCATGACCTGTGAACTCTCTCCAACGTACCACTGTCACCTGAGGAGTCCGCGACTACCGCATGTTGCTGGTGTCAAACGAAAACTGAGTGGGGAAAGCCATGCTGGCACTGAGTCCGAAGGGATCAAAGTCATAACCAGGGTCGAGCAGCTGCGTCATCGATGGATATGCCGACTGCTGGGTGTGAGCAGGGCTGTCGATCGGCGACTGGCCGGCAATGACCTGGGTCCCAGGGGGGCCCGTCGTGACTGGCGATGATAGCGACATGGGCTGTGGCTCACCAGTGTAGGGCTGACCAGGGTAGGGTCCAGGGCCGCCGTTGGGCGTGTCAGGACCCTCCTGACCTTCATCCATCATGTCGGCTGCAGCATCATATTCCTGTTCTGTATTCAAATATTAAAACCTAGGACGACAGAGTTCTATAGGACGAAGAGGGGACAAAGAAAAGAGATGGGACAACTTGCCGAGCTGCTCAATATGATTCTGGAACGATGGCGTAGGGTAGAAAGCGGCGGGACTCTGCGTCACATTCTGTCTCGCATGGTTCGTGGGCTGATGGATTCCGGGTATTTGCATTTGGCGAGGTCCTGGCAAACCATGAATCGGGGCCAGATGAGGAGGCGGAGGTGCCTTCATACCATTGACTGGCGCCATCGAGGGCCGAACAGAGCCGTTCATGTGGTCAGAGGTTGCTGGTGAGGCAGCATGCTGAGACCCGAACGAGGTTGTCGCCGTGGGCGAGGCCGAGTGGGACGAGGGCGTGTGTCGACTCTTGGGCGACAGTGCCGAGACGTGAGAGTGAACCGGAGGAGGCAGCGGCGAGATGGCTCCCGGCTCCAGTTTCGGGGCGATGCTGGAGTTGGACCGGCGAGCATGGTGGCGGTTCAGGATAGCACGTTGGATCGGAGGCGGCTGAACCAGGTTCTGGGGCATGTGAGTCGGCCCAAGATTCGGACTGCCAGTTTTAGCACGCAGCTCCGCTTGCACGTCAATACCCTTTTCCAGCAGAATCCGCTCAAGAAGCGAGTTCTTGTAGCGCAACATCAGGCACTCGTCGGCAGCATGGCGATGGGCAGCCTGGAGGTTAGCCAGGTTTTGCTCATGGGTGCGGATGGCCTCCTCGAGCTGCTTGATGTACTCGGTTCTGCGCTCACGAAAAGCAGCCTGGGCCTGACGGTTCCTCTGCTTTCTCTCCTCAGATGTCGCATAGATCTACTTTGCTGGTTAGTACACGTTTGTCATGAGATCAGACGTGACCCACAGCACATGGCGATGTGGGCACAAAAGAGTACGTACAGGTTTGCGACCCCCTTTTCGCTTGGGCTGCTGGTTCTCGGCTTGGGCCGGGGCGTTGTTTGGAGGCGCCTCTCCTTCCGGGCTGGACGCCATGGACTCTACTTCACTGTGGTCGTTTTTGGGTGGATCTTTCTTGTCGACAGACATCTTATCGGACATATCCTTGCTGTCCGGTTCGTGGCTAAGGCAGATAACAGAGGCGTTAGACCTTACTTGGCTCTTCTCCAAAAAGCTTGTCGTCGATAGGGGTGGTGCCGTGCCGCACTGACAGCTCGGTAGGCGTCGGCCAAGGTATCTCGACGAGGCAGGAGATATCAGACAGATGATAAAGAGGTAGTATGTACCTGATTTTGGGCGGGGGCGAAGCAGTAGCAGTAGGGCGCTATGCTGCAGCGGGAATGCCAGGCGATGCACACCTAAACTCTGTTGGACTTTTTGGTGGTGGGATGACAGCAGTGACAGTTCGACAAAAGCCGGGGAAGGGCGCCAATCAGTGCGTCATCTGGAATAAACGGTTTGCGGGATCCGGCAGGTTGGGACCGGGTGTTGTTCGTTCGTTTCAACGGGGGGGATCTGGTATCGGTGGTATCTGTCCCAGCGATAAGGTAAGGCTGAGTGAGGTGTTGGATTCCCCAGATTTTCGTGTGTCAAAACCAAGATTGTCGAGGGAGATTCCGGGAGGGTCAGAGATAAGCAGAAGGTCGTTGACAGGTTGGGTATGTGTCAAGAAAAGAGCAGAATGGAGGGTTTTATGTAATGTTAATGCCGGTGGTGGTGGGAGGGGTCCGCAGACCGCCGCTAGGACTCTGGGCCTGCACGGAGACAAATAGCCAGGTGCTTCCACCCAGCCCCGACCTCCGTTCTGGGTTGAACCAGGTCACGCTGCGTTTCTGTCGTTGGACCAAGACCACGCCGTGACTAGATTGGCTGCCGTCACTCACACGCTGACGCCTGCGTTTTGCGATTTGTTCCTGATCCTGATCTGGCTCCGAATTCTTGACAACTAGTGTTTTGTTTCTCGGCCGTGCTGGTTGTCGGGTGTGCTGGCACTGGCACCAGCTTTTATTCTTTTTTGGTGTCTTTCCAGGTTGTTGTCCGACTTCCGGCTCCTCGCTCGCTTCACACCCCTCTTCGCACAACGGAACTTGCTCGATCAGCCGATGGGCCGTCCAGTATCCACTCTGAATCCGCTCAAGACTCAAGCCTTGGAAACGTCAACAGAAGAAGACACCGATTTGGTCGACCTGCAGCTGGAGCCTCGGGACGGAACTTGAACTTGTTGGAGAAGGATGAGCTGGCTGTCGTTGGGCTTTCTGATGATGTATGGAGATGGGAGTTGTCCCCGTGGGCCTTGATGGGATCTCAAAGACAGGATCCTATTCGTTGGGGGACAAGTGAAGTCTCAACAAGAGTTGCTAGGTTCCCGGCCCGGTGGGTGCGGTGAAGACAATCGACAGACAAGCTTCTGGGCCCTGGAGAGATGGCGGCTAAGTAGCAGACGATGCCACGAGGAACAAAGCCGGGATGGACTGCTTTGGGAGCTCTTGGGATCTCTTGGTTCAGAGCTGTTTAAGAGGTTGTAAGAGGGGTTGCCCCTAAAGCAATGGAGGCGATGTCCCGGTCTCTTGTTTTGAGCCCTTGGAGGATGGTTCCTGGTTGGCTGGCTGTCTTGGATAAACAGTCGATTCAATCAGTCTTGTTCAATTGTCGTCAGAGGCTCAACTGTGAGCTTGAGTTGAGAGAGAGGAGGGTTGTTCGTTCTGCTCTGAACTCTCTTCCGGCTGGGTGGCACACCCTGTTATAAGTGACTAATGAAAACCAGGTACTTCGGCCACAAGTCACTTGACTCCCTGCTCTGTTGGAACGCAACCTGTTGCGCAGCAAGTGACAGAAAGAGCTGGCTCTCATTTCAGAACCCTTACAGGGTGCTCGGACCACTGTCCGCCAGCTGTCATCTGAGATTTGACAGGCGACCCTTTCTGTCAGCGACCACCATCGTTCGTTAGTCTGCGACGGAACATGGCTTTTCCCCTCACAGCGGTCCTGCATGCACCTGGTCAACCGGGCAATAACAGGTCAAAGTTCCCCCCTTTCTCAGAGTTTCGAGTTTTCAGCGTTTACCAGCGTTTCTCTTCAGCGTTTTGCCCTCTCTTTTGCCTTTTGGAAACTCTGGAATGACTGAATGACTCCCAAAAGTCCTACCGCTTACCAATTCCACTCGCCTCCTCGCCCGTTCGGTCTCATTGCCCGCCCGAGATCTATCGCCAGCCTTGGCGAGGGCCCGGGGAGACTTCTCAGAGTGGGTTGAGACTGAAGCCAAGATTGTAGTCAAGTCGAGGGATGAATATCAGGCCTTGGCTGGATCAAATAATCTGGATCAATGATGGTGTTGTCATGTGAATAGAGGAGTGTCAGGCACAACCTTCACATCATAGGGACATGCTGGTATTTGTACGAGTTATTCCTCTCCAGCACAACAGCTTTGAGCCGCCGAAATCCGTGAAGAGGAGGAGATGGGCTAAAAACCCTGCCATGAAGCGTGATCTTGACGAGTCTCGAACAACTCACGAGCTGCCATATGCGGGTTTATAGTCACGCTGCAGTTACATGCCACCACTCTTCACCACGAGAAAGGGCAGCGTTCTGAGGATGCCGTGCCTTCCAGAGGCGCTTTGCCCAGCAGGCCATCACCACTTCAAGTCTTTTGTGCCACCGACATCGGTGTTCCTTGTCGATGGTGGAGAGGGGCTGGAAGTGGAGGCATTTCAGAGATTTCGTCCACTGCTGTTGCACTGGGCTTGTTCTGGGGGTGGTTGTCAGGTACATGCTCAGCCTGTCGTTCAGCGTTCAGGAACAACATTGGCTGGGTTTAAACTGCGGGGCAGATTCCTTGACGACGCCTCGCCAAGACACCAAGAACGCCAGAATTTTATAGTCACCTGAGCCAGCGAGACAGCCCGCTGTTCACAACCCACCTGTTCCTCCCGCCTGGAACCCAAGCGCTGGGGGGTACACACCTCCCGCGTACCACTATTGACGAAGGACTTCGGTGGAAAAGAGTCCTACCAGCGTCGATCTTGAAGACTTTTTTTGAGGATTAGCAAGAAGGAAAAGAAAAGAACTTGAAAGACCATTTAAGACCAATGTTGTATATGGAAATGGGACGTTTCCAAGATTGGCATTGGCGAGGGTTGCTGAACAGCTTGCCGGGTGCTGCAAGACCACCTATTGGGTGTTGACAATGAGGCCACGAAAACTTTTGCGGCTCGTGAGCATATTTGGTGACGGCTTGTGCTTCCAATAGACTGGAGGGGCAGCTCAAGTATGCTCAGGCGCTGTGAGATCGATAGATTAAAATGTCGGCAGTCATCCAACCAGAAGGCTTTCGAGATTCTGTTCTCGGTGTTCGGGGAGCAGTGGGAGCTTCAGCGTTTGCGGTTGCGTTTGGTCGACGTTCCAGTGACGTTTCCTTCAACCACTGGAAAAAGAAAGCCTTTTTCAGAGTGATGCACCCGCCGCGCCCTCCACTTTGGCCCCCAGCCACCCCTGGCAGCCATCCCTGAACTCCTCACGCCTCCGCCGCCGCTCCGCAACGCACGGCCTGGACGGGAAAGCTGGCGACCGCCGAGAGTTAAGAGACGGCATCCTCCGACGACACCTCTTGCCCGAATGCTTCTGCTTGAGATGAGAAATTGTGATCCCCCAAAACCGAGATGTTTTGTCTTTGATCACAGCTGAGCAGTGCCGCGATGATTCTCTTGCAAAGTTGCACCATTCGACTTGGCTTTTTTTGGGGTCGTCAACTTGTCTTTCGACAAGCCTCGTCTAAACAAGCTCAAAGTAGCTAGCAACAGGGGGGGTGATTACCCGAGTCCATCGAGTGCCCAGACATGCGGGGCGGGGTTGTTGGCGCTGGATCAACGCCCAAGGCATCGAGTTTTGTGCATCTCCGAGGAGCTCATCGATCCTTGGCTCACCGGCCGATGAGGTGTTCTTGGTGGTGAGGTTCACCTCCCATGACATCAACTTGCACGGAAGGATCCGCTTCACGGAGGCCTATACGAGGGCAGCCATACAGTGAGTGGACTGAGGACTCTCAACCCTGAGTATCGCGAGAGATTCTGTAAGTCCGCACTTCCATCTTGAGACCGATACCGCCTGTACAGGTTCAACAGAGTTGTACCAGTGTTCGTCCCTGGTCCGATACTCGTCTTGCTGGCAGAGAGACCGAACGCCCAGAAGGCCGGTTAGAGGGGTGGTGAAGAGCGAGAATTTCTTCTTTCATGAATCACCAGATGGTCGACATGCAGATGCCGGACATTCTTCATCGAGGCTTCGCATGGGATGGCGGGATGAGAAGCTCATTGGTCTGGACTTGTCGACCGCATCGGGCAATGTGACTGAGAAGCAACTTCTACGCCTTCTGGAATGTTTCTAGCGTCTTGTGGCGCCACCAGTACCGGAGAGCAGTGGTGGTGGGGGTCAGCCACAACCAGTTCACCACCCCTCGTCGTGTTTTCTAGTGAGGTCTAATTACTGGGAGGGGGTTATTGACTACGCTCACGCCCAACAGGCCTGGCACGGGCCATCACTCCACCACTGGCGCACGCGCGCTCGACAACAAGCTGCCATTTTCTGCCTTCCAAATCGCGAGCTTGCGAGCGATGGTTAGAGTTAGAGTTAGTAGTTAGGGTACGGGTTATGTTTAGTGTTAGTGGTTAGATTCGGTTTATGGTTAGGGCTTCGGGTTATTCTGTATTCTGGAAAAAAAAGTTGGTGGTGGTGGCAGTTTTTGGCGGGCAAGCGTCCTTTTGCATACACCCTGTCGAGCCCACGCCCCCCGCTGCTAATTAGACCTCCCTAGACAACACCCCGCTCGTCCGCCTCTGATATCGACGACTTCAACGTCGCGTACCCCGTCTCGAGCCTCGTCTGGGGCACCAGATTGATGCAATTTCCTGGGTGCGGCATTTTCTCAACTCGGTATCCTGGGAAATTCGATCTGACAGGTGCCGGTGATGATGCAGTCGCCCAGCAGTTCCAAGACGTCGAGCTCCAATCATGGCGCAGCTGATCGATAAATTTGCGCTCATCAGTATCGATTCTTTGGCCGTGGGGGTTAGTGGTGTTTCAACCACATATATTTCTCGCAGCTATCGTCTGCACGTCGACGAAAAGAAGATCAATCAGGGCTTCCATGCAGGTCCCAGATCCGATGGTGAAGATACCCGCAGTTGGGGAACCACATCTTGTATCAGCTTCCAAACGGTGCCGTCAACGGTGAAAGTGTCTTTTGAGAGGGCCTGTGGGCATGGTGAGGGTTCGAGACGGTGAAAAACGGAATGCTCAAGACCACAGTATATAGGTTCTTCGAGAGAAGGATGTGTTGTTTGACCAGCTGGATATTACCTCTGGCCGAGATATCTCGCTGCGGAGGGATATATCGACTCTGGCACTTGGCTCTGTCCTGGGCTTGGGAGCGCCGGCCGGAGGGTAAGCTCTGAGGGGAATAATCAAATTGTTTGCTTCTCGAGTAGCAAGGCGATGATTACTGCCGGCTTCGGTGGTAGCTGTGGGGCCATAGACTGTCGTTGAGCTTCAGGAGAGTTAAGTTGAGTATCGATAGTGTTCGTGTGCAGCCGAGTATGCGTCGAGTTTAGGAAGTCTGATCGAGTGCCAAACTGTCGGGAGTCGGGAGCAGTTGGTCTGTGCCACGAACTCACCTCACGCCGGTGACACGGGCCCACAAAATCAAAGGGTTTGTTTACTTCAACGGCCTGCCAGCGAATCAAAATTATCACCCCACCAGACATCGCTGGCACAGTCGCACCTCTTCCCTTGTCGCGTCTTCAACCTGACATCATTTCCATCTCTCCACCAACATTCCAACACCGACAAATTGTCAGAATAGCTGTTTCTTCGACCGCATTTCCCCTGCATTGCACCGCCATCGCAGCGAACTTCCGACATCATGGCCCGCCGTTCAGCGCGCCTGGCGAGCGCCCAAAGGGTAAGTAAACAAACAAAGACAAACATGCCAAAATTCGACGACAATGCCGCTAACCCGTGCTTCGCAACTTCAGGCGATGAAGCCGTCCCATGAGGAACCAGTCCTAGCTGCCGTCGCCGAGCGAGATGACACTCCCGCCGAGAGTGCCGCGGTTCAAAACATTGATGCTGTCGTTGCGTCCCCAGCCCCAGCTCCCGCCCCAACTCCTACCAAGCTGCCCGCGACACCAGCTGGCAAGGTTTCTCGCATTAAACCTCCTGCCACAGAAATGCATCCTGCCAAATACCATCCGACCATGGCGCCACCTTCGTCCGGTCTGCGTCTAGGCTTCACCGACATTGTCAAGCCCACTTCTTCTCGCAGCGATGCACTTCCCGGCGCCATTCAATCTACACCCACCAAGATTGCAGTCCCATCTTCCTCTTTTACATTCAGACAACCCGGTCACTTAGATATGAAACTCGGGCCTGAGGCTCAGCGCATGATGGACCAAATCCGCGATCAGGCCGCCAAAATCAAAGTCGAGTTGGCCGCCCAGCGCGAGGCAGAGAAGGCCGAAGAAGAGCAGATTAACAATCGCAAAATTGCTACTGCCAAAGGCAAGGCCGGCCGTTTCAGCTCAGCCCATATGAACGAGTTCAAGAAAATGGACTCGATCGCGAACCATCCCTCAGCCTTCAGAGCCCAGTCGAGCCGCATTACACCACTCAAACAAGGCGTCAAGCGCAGCCAATCCAAGGCCAATCTCGACGAACCCGAGCATGCTCGTTCTAAGCAGTCCACTCCAGTCTCGACGATTCTCAAGGCCAATCAGCGTGTTGAGGAGGTCGAGTCTCCTATCAAGCGTGCTCGTCAGCATATCGAGGACGATGCCACGACGAAGCGTCCAATTTCACGAGATGCGAGCGCAATTCCGATGCCTAAGTCGTCTTCTAACATGGCCCTACCTCGGTCCAAATCTAATCTTGCATCGTTGATGACCCCAACCAAATCTTCGCTTGCTCGATCGTGCAGCACCATTGCCAAGACCCCTGTACGTGGCTCGCTTCTGCGTTCACCCTCCAAGCCTGCGCTGGGCGGTCTCATCAAGTCTGCCACGACGAGCAACATTGCGGCCGTTGAGGAGGAGACGACGAAGACGGTTGAGGTCAAAAGCTCAAAGGCAGTGCTTTTTACCACTGATGATCTCAAGAGCCCCAAGGCAGCTGTTTCGACAGCCGAGCCCAAGAGTCCCGAGGTGGCCGTCGAGGTCAAGACCCCCAAGAGCCGCTTCGAGCAGGTCAAGTCTCTTTTCCGCCGCCCCCAGGCCAGTACTGCGAAGCCTAAAAGCACTATTCCGATGCCCTCTGCTCTTGGTTCCAAGACACCAGCCCCTCCTCGTCTGGAAAAGGAGCTTCCTCCAGTCCCCATGACCACCCCTGCCCGCAAGCTCACTCGTGTGGCTTTCACCCCCGACACTCAACATGCTGCGATGGCTCAGAACTCTCCATCGCCGGTCAAGTCTGGCGTCCCCATTCCCGCTGTCAGGCAGCCACTTGGAGAGGTCCACTACCCATCGTTGGACGGCGTCCTGGCTGAGCAGAGCGCCGAGGATGTGTCTTACCCCGACCTCTCCACCGTCCGCCCCCTCCCAGACGTGCCCACCGAAACCAAGGCCCCCTCCGCCGAGCCATCCGTCCCAGGCACATTCTCCTTCCGAGGCGACCACACCATCAGCTTCGGCGGTCCATCCTCTTCATTCGGCTCCTCCCCCGGGCAAGCTAGCATCCGCCCCGTCCGCCCATCTATTCTGCCCACGGAGAACATGCCCGGCAGCTTCCCCCGCACTTCATCGTCGACGACGGTTTCAAACAAGGAGAATGAAGCCCCGCGCACGGTGTTTGTCGCTCTGCCTCATGGCATGACGAACAAGAAGCGACATCGGGTTACGTCGGATGAGGAGGAGGAAGAAGCGGAGCGAGAGGCGGCGGATAGGGCGGCCAAGAAGAGGAAGCATGTTCCCGAGGGGGATGCGTTGCTTGCTCCGAGGCTGGTTGCCGCGAGCGCGAAGAAGACGGGGATGCAAAGTGCTAGTCCTAGGAAGATGGCGGCTTTGCCTGGTCGCGCGCCCGGGACGCCGAGCCCGATGAAGAAGAAGACTTACGGGGGGTGGGATTAGTCTTAGTCGGTTGCAGGCTTTGTCGAGGCCAAAGGTGAGGAAGTAAAGACACTCCCACTTGGCCTTGTGTTGCCATGTCAATCACTTGGCGTTTGCTGCCGGTGATGAAGCATATTGTTGGGATAGGGCAGTCGGTGGCTTTTCGATACGGGGGAGCTTTGGGCGTTGTGGGTGACACCACATTCTTAGTTAGCCTTGACGAAGAAAAGCTTCCTTGGGAGTTGATACTGGTATTATTAGGGGAGTGGGAAAGGTGCATAAGTTATCTGGGTTGCTTTTTTATATTCACTTGTAACGATACATTACACGTCATCATTTGAGGGGAGTTTAAGGCGGCGGCAGCGGCGGCCTTCGGGACAACGGGAGAAATTTTTCATATGAAGAAGGGGGGAAAATGGCGTTAATAGGCTGGGGATTGGGCTTGTCGGATGAGCATGGGAGTTCTGTAGGATTATCAACTTGAGAGCTATTTTTTGCACGAGCTGCTGCTTTTTCATCATTGGAGATGTAGTTATGCGTTGTCTTGATACCTACTCATATCTCTATCAGTTGTTTGAGTCATCGTCCAAAAAACCTCCTCAAAAGGTCGGCTTGTACACTTCTCCTCTTGCGACTGCTCCCCCCATTCCCGCTGCCACTACCACCACTACCGCCGCTTCCCCCCTTTTTCTCATCTCTTCCCTCAAGGGCACCGATAGGGATCGTCTGCCCTATTTCTTGGTGACCTCTTGTGGTGGTGACGGTGGTGGCGGTGGTGGCCACCATCTCCGGGGTTTGAACCCGTCCAGCGCTGGGCTCTGCTTTCACTGCTGGCGCGGTAGCCAGGCTACCATTCTTCCCTGTGCCAATTTTTGCCATCCGTGCCTCTTCATCCTCTCCTCGAGGAAACTTTTGTCGTTTTCTTCCAGAGACTGTCCGCCGGAGGAAACCCTGTTTGGGGTTGTTAGTGGGTGTTGTGTTATTCCCAATAAGAACAACAGGTGCCGGTGGGGTGTTGATTGGCGTGATCGACAGCGCTGGTGGTGGCTGCAACTGTGGTGATGACCTCGACTGGTGAGCTTGCCGCTGGGGCTGGAGATACTCGGTTGACATCCTTGGGTTGGTTTGGTGGATGTGGATCGACATCACGGGGGGTTCTACTCTCGCGGATGGGTTTGAACGGAGGGAATGGTAGGAGGAGTACTGTCGTGTCGATGTCACGCCTGTGTGTGATGCTGTAGGGAATAGGTTGTAGGAGGTGGCTCGGTTCATCCTCGAGTCGATCTTAGTGAAGGGGTCGTCAGCTCCTAAACTTTGGCTTTGTCGGCCTGATGATGAGACGGGGGAAGAAGGGTACTCTGGGGGGGTTTCGTATGAGGAGAACGTGGTTGAGTTGTGTGACAGGCTGTCCTGGGGGGCTGCTTCTCTTTGGATGGGCGAGGAGGGGAGAGTCTGGTTAGAGACGAATGGTGCACCGCGGTGGATAAATCGTCGTGGGCTGCTTGTGGGTGGTGTGTTTTGGAGTGAAGGCACCTCTGACATCTCGCTGTGAGGGTACTGCGTTCTGTTGCTATCCGAAGTAGAGAAATACCGATCTTCGAGACGGACGGTGGATGCGTGGGAGTTGTTGCTGACCCTCGAAGAGTACGAACGGACATTGTGGCGCCTGATCCGGGACTCTTGCTGCGTTGGGACAGGAACTTGATGAGAAGACTGAACCGGCGAGGCGGGCGAAGGCTGCAAGAAAGACGGAATCCCTTTTGTCGGACTCGGTCGAAACGATATCTCTCCCAGCGGGTCAGACAGCGACACGTAAATAGTCGTCTGGTCATTCCCCTGATCACCTCCCTCATCAAAATCCGACCTTGCCCCCTCCTCATTGACCCGCCTATGCAAATGAATCTTCTTCTCATTATACCCCTTTCTCAACCCCTCCCACCTACCCCTCGCCAGCCCATTATCCCCCTCGGCCCTCTCCACCTTTCTCAGCGCCTTCTGCACCACCTCGGCCTCGCTCACTTGTTCTCCCTCTGCACCCTGCTGATCTTGCACATCAACCAAACAGTTGATACACATCGGTACCGTGTCCACCTCCTTCGCCTTGTCCTCCTCTCCAGTTCCATCGTCCTCAAACCATTCCTTGAGCGGTGTTCCCCTGACCACATTCTTGCACCCGCAGAATAAACACCCGTAGCATGCCTTGTGCCAGAAGCACCACCCCAAGCTGACACAGTCCTCCCCGCGGAAGACCATTTCGTTGCAGACCCAGCATATTGCCAGGTTGGTGATGGCTATGTAGCAGGCGTGGCATGCTAAACGGGCCGAGGAGCCGAGAACGTGAGGTTTTGAATTCCAAGGCGAAGGGGAGGAGAGCCGCTAGCAAAATGTGCAAGTGAAGAGTTGAGGTGGGGGTTGGTGCTGGCGAGGTGGAGGGAGTGGAGGAAGGGGGGCTTTCTTCTCGGTTGCTGGAGCTTGTAAGACTGGCGTGGATGAGGAAGAAGGAGGAACGCCGTGGTGAGTGTTGGGGGTGGATGTCATGCTGGCAAAACGAGTGTTCCCGGCGAAGATGGGTGTCCAATGCCTGATTGGCAGGTGGACGGATGATAACGAGTGGTGGTAGATGATGTCAATAAACGAAGGAAGATATATTGATGTCGGCAACGAAAGTGAACAAGATATGTGTAGCTTACGGATGAGATGACTTTGTTAAAACATCTGTTGTGAATACCTATATCGACGACATCAGAAGGACTTGGGCCCGAACCTTCCCAGTCTCGTAGGGTGGGTGGCATTTGTATACTTACGGCAGGAACAACTCACATTCATTAGACTGAGGAAGGAACCCCCTTCTACCACACAACCAGGGAAGGCGCCATCGACCAGGTGGGCCTTTTATGCATTCACATAATCTATGCCAAACATGATCTAACATCTTATCAATGTCTATATACCCGTTTATACTCGACTCATCCTCAGTTCACCTGCTCCCTCCTCTCCAACTTGGCCGCCCCCTCGTGCCCCCCAAGATCTTTCGCAAAATCCGGCCTCGGCAGCTCCACGCCCTCCGTCACCCTCCCATAGGTGATCCCGCCCAACCTGCTTATCGGCCTCAAAACCTCAATATCCAGCAAACTCCCCTCCTCATTGATCGCATCCTCCCTCGCCCAGAACTTGACACCCTCAACCACCGCCATGGTACTGCTCACCTTCCCAGGCGTGCTCTTGCTCTCAAACCCCCTCAGACTCTCCAACTTGCCCTCAATGCTGAAAACCGCCTCCTTCACCCTCGGCGCCTTGACATGCTCGCAATCATACACGGGCGTCAGACCGCTAACATCCCACTCTGACACCCCGTACGGCGCGTTGATGGCGGTGGAATTCGCCGCCTCGAGGAAGCTTTCAGAAATGATGTTGATGGTGCACTCTTTTACTTCGTCAAGCTGGCGGAGGGTGTCCTTTGCTTTGGTGGGGTCAGGGTTCACCAGGGAGGAGGCAAAGCCGATGATGAAGAGAGGGGGGTCGTGGGAGATGACGGTGAAGTAACTGAAGGGGGCGAGGTTGGTTACTTTGCCATCGGGGGAGACTGTTGAGACGAAGGCGATGGGGCGGGGGACGATGGCTGAGATGAGGAGTTTGTAGTTGAGGTGGGCTGGGCGGGTGGGGGAGTAGGGGTCGATTTGGCGGTGGGGTTTCTCTTTGTCTTGTCGGGTGGAGAGGTGGTTGGCGCCAGCACCAAATGTCCAGGAGGGCTGGGGGGTTTGGGTATAGGAAAAGGTTTTGGTGGTGTCAAAGGGGGGGCGGGAGGCTTCAACGGCTTTGAAGTCGGGGTGAGGGTTACGTTGGATTTTGGACTCCCAGTTGGAGGTGTTTTCGGCGGCCATGGTGGGCTGTTGTTTACCGAGTATAGGGCTTACTGTTCGGAAAGACCTGTAGTAAAAACCCGGGGTTGGTGCGGATGTAAATAGGGTCACTGGTGGTGATGTTGATATCGGCGTTGATGCCGGCACAAGGTGGGGGAGGGGTCGTCGGCGATAATGATAGCTGCGCTTGTCATCGGGTAACGGAAGGCGGAATGAGGGCCGGAAGATGTGGAGGCGGCGGGCCAAGGGACCCGGCTTACACAAGCACGTCGACATAGGATGCTGGCAGTCAGTGTTCTGCCAAAGTTCAACATGGATGTATATGTCTACAACTACGGACTCTTTGTCATCAGCCAGCCATGTGTAGACCTGGCAATGCTGAATGCCCCGGACGCCAGGCAACGAGAAGTGGGCCGGATGGCAGCAGCTATAGGGCTGACCGTGTCAGATCTCAAAGAAAAAGTCGGGAACCAATTGACGTCAGGTGCCCGGAATAAGCTGACCACGTTTTGTTCTTGCAGGAAGATGTCTGATATTTTCGGCAGTCCATTCATCATCCATTTTGTACGACAGCGAGGATTCTGGGAGGACCCGCACGGAGCGGGCTGCCCCGGCCATGGGCGCGGCCTTCGGACCGGGAATTTGCCATGCCTCCTGGCTCCAGGTGCTGTGATGGGGTCATCAAGCCATGCGCATATCTTCTCCTCTCGGGGAGACTGTTTGAGGTTTCGATCATTCAGCTGAAATCCCACGCGCTCAACCATCCAATCACCCTTGTCCCGGTTGGACGCTATGCGCCCCACGCGAGCGTCGGTGGAGAACCGTTAAGCTAAATATGGCTCAGGGCGAAGTGAGAAGCGCACGTTGGCTTTTGTTGGCACCCTCACTTACAGATTCTGTCAGACAAGGTACGGCAAGATCTCTCGGTCTCACTTTTCTATGATATGATGGGCATACAGTTCTCACGAGCTGGCTGTGGAGAGACGGCAAGACATGCAGAGCAAGAAAGCCTCGCCATCACGAAGTTGTAACACTGTGGCATGCAAGTAGCCGGCACAGAGCCTCGCCCCAAGAATCACACCACCATTCGGAGGCCCTGGCAGACCTCACCAGGACGAGACGAGACGAGACGCGGGTCGGGGCTGATACACTTGTCTCTCCAAAGGCTGGGCCCCGGGCAGCGTCTTGACTGGTTGGGGCATCTTGGGCGCATCAACACTGCAACGAACACGGAGTCGCAGTGGGCAGGGCAAGCGAGATGGCGGCGCGCAGCATTTGTCTTCAAGGAACTGCCGCAGAAACAAGCAAGAGAACCAAGACCGAAGACCAAGTACCAACAGCCCGCTGGGGTGGCATCGCGATGGTCTTCTGTGCTTCGTAGGGCAGCCGGACGGGGTCCCGAGAGATTGGGGGCGGTCTTGGCTGCTGCCATCCAATCCCATCCCGCTGTTCTTCAGCCCATCGACGGCCTGTCACCCGGCTTTCCTTCCCTTCAGAACACCGACCACCCAGACTACAGCACCCCTCCCCTGTCCTTCTTCTTTTGTCGGGTATTCCTCTGATTCTTGTGTCTCTTTTGGGCGTCACTCTCTCCACCAAAGTGTTTGTTTGCTGCTATTTGCGTGATCCTGTTGCAAATGTGTCTTTTGAAACCATAATCTCGCCTCTCCTTCCTGGCTCCTCGGCCGTGATGGCGATGGCGACGGCGACGGCGACGGCGGACACCATCCTAGCGAGAAGCCCGAGTCTGCTGACAGCAGCTTCTGGACCTGGCGGCGGCGCCGTCGCAAGCGCACCCGCTTCCGCAACGACCGCGAACAAGTGCGGAGCCGACTTTCTCTTTCCCAAGAATCTCGACTTCTTCTACCATCTCGACATCCTGACCGTCTCGTACCGGTCCACCCTTGCCAATCCCACTCTGTCGTGTTGGTGTGGAGGTCAAGACGGCAAAGCAGCCGTCCAGAGTCAGTTGTTTCTTTCCACTTCCATCTCCTTTCGAGTCTCTCACCCCACCACTTCCTTTCTCTCTCTCTCGGGCTGAGGTGCCAAGCACAGCACTTCCCCCCTACTTCTCGATAGTGGCTTGCCCCCTTCTGCACGCCTGCTGTCACCACTGCCGGGTTGCTGACTGATGCGATATTTGTACCACCCCTTCAGAGCTCAGCACCCGCCATGCCAGCCCGTTCAACGGCTCCGCTCGCCTTCAACTGAACTTTTCCTCCATAAACGCTCCCTGCTGGTTCGAGCTCACCTCAGAGTCTGGGGATTGTGGAGACGTTAGCGATAGGTTTGTGGTCTTGACGAATCAGCGCCCAGCGACCGGCACTTCGCCGATAGTCTCGATATCGACGCCAGTACCCGTACCCGCCGCGCCGAGACGGACAACTACAACGACCCGCCGGCAGAAACATCTGCAGCTTCGAGCAGAAACAACCTCGACGGCCCCCACAACCGTCGTCTCAGAGCCTTCGGAACCCCAGGCCGGGGGAGACAGTCTCAGCTCTGGAGCCAAAGCTGGTATCGGCATTGGCATCAGCCTTATCTGCGTCGCCATTGTCGCCGTTATCGCCATGGTATTCTTCAGGCGCCGTCGCCGAGGCCAGGATGCCGATCACCTCGGTGCCATCATGGATCATGAACGTGGCAAGGGGAGGAAACCGGAGAAGCGCAGTCCTGGCGCGCCCTCGATAGTGTCGGCAAGGTCGGACGAAGAGGCACTGTTTCCCATACAGCCGGTCTACGATGGGTTTCCGGGGTCGATGGGATACGAAGATGTTCGCTCGCTACATTCTCTCACCAGCCACTCTCACTCACCAACAAACGGCCATCACTCGCCGACAGCACCCCACCAAAACAGCTACTGGTCGCCGCCGCAGGAACGAAGCATGGAGGCAGATGAACTCGCCGCTGCTCGTCTGAAATCACAACACAACACAGCCATCCCCCCGGTCATCTCATACGGCCCTAACCCCGTTACCCCAACATTACCACGACCTACACCACGAGTAATAGAACTAGAGAGGAGGACCTCTCCCCACAGCTCACCAGACAGCATAGCAGCCGTCCCGGTGGTACCAGTAATGCCGATCGTGCCTGATTTCCCAGAATATCCCAATTACACGGGCTACAGCATCCCGGCCCCGGCACCAGCAGCAGTCCCACCCAGGCCATCATCAATACCCGAACAACTACCACATCCGCACCCCTCCCCACCGCGACATACTGTGTCGCCCAACGCCGTCACATCTTATGGTCCCAACCGAGTAACACCAACCCCACAAGTGGTCTCCCCCACCGTCCCCCCAGACGACACCATGATCAACCGCCGCTACCAAGAGCAAACCTACCACGAACCAAACTACCCAGAACAGCAGCCCCCCTACCAAGTCCCCGCGATCGCCGAGGTATCAGAACAAAACCACGACCGAAACGATTACCACCACCACCACCACGAACGCCAATTCTCCTGGGACGAATCCCCCCTCCTCGGCGCCTCCTCACCCGTAGGCGGCCTCCCCCCTTATGCCTCCCAGATCGAGTTCGAAGCCATGACCAAGGGAGCCATCCGCAACATGCCCGAACCCCAAGCCGGAGCGGAACTACCCCCCACAAAGGACGGGTACTACCCCGAATTCCACCCCATGACGCAGGTTGAGCTCCCGGGCGAGGCACCCCAGCTGCCGTTCCAGGTCTACAGCGTGCAGCAGCAGGACTCTTCATCTGGGAGGAGGGGGGCGGGGGCGGGGGCGGGGATGGTGGTGGCGGAGCAGAAGGTGCTGATTTCGGCGGATTTGTTTTCGGATGCGGACATGAGGTTGTTTATGGAGCAGAAGGCGAAGGCGAGGGAGAAGAGGAGGAGGGAGATGGAGATGGAAAAGGGGGAGGGGACAGCAGAAGGTAGGTAATTTTGGATTTGGAACCTGGCGGGATAAGGGGATATCAAAAGTAATAAGGTTGGGGGAAAGGGAAGAGGGGGGATTATACCATTGCAAAGGCGTTTCGGGAGGTTATTTATATTGTCGAGATCTTTTGTGATTCACACGAGATAAACAAACAGGGGAGGTTAGGATTGGTTGGGGTCAACGGACGGCACAAAACAGGGGCGGAACAAAGCATTGTTTTTTAGTCATATTATTATTATCATCATCATCATCATCTGACATATCCGGTGGGGGGAAGAGGTTGGTTACCTTTGGATATTTAGTGCCTACCTACTTTATTAATATATACCTAGTATATTATTTATATTTACTTCAATCCCATTTTGCATTATAACGTGGAAAGACATGTTGAAAACAATGTTGTACAATATTGCACAAAGTAACCTACCCTCCTCCCCTCCCGATTGAAACCTCCAAAACCCAATGAAGAATGGGTATCATGTAAAATTGCCAAGAGGAGGGAAGCGCAAGCAGACACAGTGATGATCCCCCGCTCACCCGGATCATCACCACATATCCCGTAATACATCTTTACGTTTGCAAAATTCCATCATGATTTGCCATTATAATCAAACCCATCAGTACCATTCATCCCTCATACATATCATCACATCATACCTATAAAAACAAACTATCCCCCTGCCTACAGACAACAAACTCACACCCCAACCCCAACCCCCTCTCCACCTCCCTCAGTTCCTCTTGTATAACCTCCCTCGCCTCCACCCCGTCCTCCCCCAACTTGTCCTTGACATGTATAATCACCACCTTCAACCCCCTCAACAGCCCTCTCAGCTCATTCTCCTCTTCCATCATCTCCTTGTCTTGGTTTTCGTCGTCGCCATCTCCTTCTACCGACTCGGTCAGTGTAGCATAGGGGTCGTTGCTCAGCGGCGTCGCCGGGCCCTCCTGCATGTTGACATCCTCCTGGGGGGGTCGGACACCAGCAGGTTCGACGTCCGACAAGCTCAACTCCCCCGTTGGGGTCGCCAGGTGCGGTGTAGGTGGTTGGTTTCCACCCCCCTGATTATTCCCACCCTGCAAAAAGTAATCTTGTGGAACGGTGCCATCTACAGCCCGACGATTAGGCTGCACCGTCCTCGGTGATATGGGATGGTCCTCCTTTTCCGGCTGCTTTGTATTCCCCGCCCCCGTCCCCTCCGTTTTGACCTGCGGCTGGGGTGTACTTTTTCTTTTGGACAGCTGTATGCTCGCCCCATCTTCCAATCCCGAAGCACCACTGGCTTCCCTCTTCCGTTTTTTGTTGTCGGCAGCCGGGGCACTGGTTATGCTACCCCTTCTGCTCTGAGGATAGAGCACATTCTCCGCGTGGCTTGTCCTTCGGGATTTAGGCATGACAGAAGCATGGCTTGGTCTTCGAGAAGAAGGGTATGTCTGCGGTGGTGGTGGTGGTGCAGGGGGCGCGTTTTTCGCTGCCAAAACCTCCTTTGCCAGAGCCGTCATTTCTTCGGCGAGATATCTCGGTGCCAGGTGGCCGTATAACCTGTCCCGGGTGACAGAGTTGTCATAACTGCACTCGATAAAAATGGCTGTTAATTTCCCCGCCGCGATCTTGGGCGCGGCAATCTGCCAGACGAATAGGTTGCGGGGCGTGAGGCTTTCGCTGTCGGGCTCGACGTCGCCAAACATGAGGATTTCCCTTCCGGTGGGGACGTGCTGGAAGAAGTAGGCCGAGCTGTCGTAGACGCAGTAGGATTCTTCGAGGGGGAGTCGGTCAGACAGGGAAGAGGTTCGGCCGGGGGCGACTGATTGGGCGCGTTCTTGTTGTTGGAGCTGGATGAATGGCGGGAGGGAGATGCTCGTGCCGGGGTGGTTGAGGCCTAGGGCTATTGACCTGCTGGGGGAGCGGCGGCCGGACATGCTACCTCTGAGATCGAACGACGCCGGGCCGAGGGAAGAGGCGTCGAAGCTGCCGTGTCGCATGCTGGTTGTGCTGCCTCGGTGGCTGTGTTTCTCTACACAGTGGCCGTGGCTGACGCTGAAGACTTTGATGGCTAGGCCATCCCCTATCTCGAGATAGCCTCTGGTGTCCCCCTCCCCGAGAGCTGGAGAGCCACCCTCCACCAGCCTCATGTAAGTAATCAGCCCGTGGCCGTTGTTCTCGTCGCTCAAATTTGGCCAGATGATATTGTTGAAAATGTGTTTCTTGAACCCCTCTATCGTCACTGGAAGACCGGCTAGCCTCTTGGGTCGGCGCATGCCAGCAGTGTTGACGACCAACCCAGCAATGTGGTCCAGGTGCGGGTGGCTGATGACATAGGTCTCGACCAAGTCCTGCACAATATCAAGGGCGTTCGCCTTGGGGCTGACATTATTGATCTCGAGTCCGGCAAAAGGACCGGTAGTCAGAGTATGTGGAAGCGACTCCTTTGTCAACGTCATTGGTTGGGTGTCCTCCAATATCTTCGCGATAGCCCCCAGATGAACACCAGCATCAAAAGCAACAACCGAACTCCTGCCCCATTTTGACGAGACAGACCGTACTAAGAACGAGGTGACATTATTTTCGAACGGCCCGCCTCCCGAGCCCTACGTACAAAACACATATTAGCTATTATTTACATTTGCACAAGCATGAAAGACAAAAAAGTAAACAGTATAGAAGACGTAGAAAAAAAAAAAAAAAAAGACCAGTCTAGAAGCCGCAACATGTCTTCATGGCCCAACAACCCCAGCGACCCGACAGAGTGGAATCGAGCAAGCCACCACCGCGCTGAGACCAAGCTGGATCAGCGAGGTAAGATGGAACGACAAAGCATTCTTTGTCACTGGCCCAAGAGTCATGGGGTGTTCCATGACGCAACACAGACTGAACCAGACAACAACATCTGTGCCTGTGGCTTTGTTCTCTCCGTGGTCTTTGTTGGCTTGTTCGAGAACAGAGACTGCCCTGGACGGGGGAGGGGGTCGCGGGTAGGTGCATGAGATTTACCCTTCAGAGAGGGAGGGGGAGGGGCAGGCGGTCTTGGTGGGCTGAATGTTGGTGGGGTCCAGCCAGTTTAATCGTGTGGAGCTGAACTTCCTTCAGTGGACCCCCCCGAAGCTGGACAAGGTTGACGACCGGCAACCGGAGGTAAGATCGGCCAAGACATGGGTGAGGGAAAGAGGAGTATAAAAATAAAATAAAAACAAACTGAAGGAAAAGGAAGACCAAAGAGAAAACTCCAGATATGATGATGAAGACAATAGGAATAACCAACTCACAAGAACAATGACATGCAGCGCAGGTTGTTGTTGTTGCTGTGCTGCATCATCTCCAGCATTGGTGTTGTTGTGCGTGGCAGAAACAACAGCCTCCTCCCCATTTGCGACATCAGTTCCTCCTCCGCCCCCCATCAGCTCGGCTTTGCTGGCACGCTGTGTGGTAAGAAGGAACCTGGAAGATACGACAATGATTCAGGTCGGGAGATCGGATACCTCTCCGGTGTTTATGCGGCGGGTTGGTGGGCGTGTGTAGATAGAGATCAGAGAAGGGTAGGTCGCAGTGCGAGTGGCTTTTGCCTGCCTGCCTGGCCTGTGAATCCCAGGATCCAGGATGCGAGGAACCAGCAGATAGATTGTGTGTAGCAATCGGGAATTCCGCGACCGTTTGTTCGCTGAGCGTGTGTGCTGCTGCTGGTGGCGATGCGATGCGATAGGATGACACCGTAAGGTGGTTGGGGGGTGGGAAAAGGTAATGCGGGATTCCCCTGCTGCAATGCAGGAAGCCAGGTCCGGTGAGATGGTGCTGCTGTAAGGTAGGTTGGGTCTCGGGTGGGTTTTTGGAGAGCTGAACCCGGTGGGTAAGACAATACCCTTTTCTTAACCCCCTGAACTTGTAGCTTGTATATCGGACAAGACAATGGAAGTCTTCTAGGGAAAATGAATTGGCCGTGGAAGGCGAGGGACCGTTTTATGTTGGAGCGCAGACAGAGAAGCTTTTCTCGAATGGCGCCGTTCCAGTGCCGTGGCTTTTTTGAGGAACAGGCCGCTTGTTCCCAAACCGCAGACGTTTCTTTGGGGCTGGCCTCTGCCGTTCCCCTGCAGTAGTAGGTCCAAATGCTCGACGGCGGCACGACGGTAGGTATTGCTGCAATGGGGGCGGGCGAGTTTGAGTGTTGATCGAGAATGAGGTGTAGAGTCCAAGATGATTAATTGTAAGAGGAGAGAGAGGTCCATCGGACTATTATAGAAAACGGGATGGGACTTCCCAATTGGTACCTACCCTACCGCAGGTATTCAGCGCGCCCCGGTGGGAAGAGGAGGGTTCCTAAGTTCTTTCACCTGCCGGCGAGGCCGCTCTGGCAAGGCAACAAAGTTTCCCTATGCCCCTCCATTGTTGCGCAAACTTGGCTTTCGGTCCAGGCAGGACGCGGGCGGGAGCTAGTGGCAGCCGGGAATTCAGGGCTCGATCTTATAATCCGTGTCCCGTTTCGCCTTACGAATCCGAATGTCTATCCAGGTTTCAGGGGTGTCGTTATCGTCGACTAGCGCCTTGGAGGACGACGTTGGAAGATTCCGGGGGAGCTCGATCGGTGGTGGTGACGTTGAATGGAAGGCCCGGGGTGTGTATGGCATGGCGGGGGGTTGTCTTCGGGGATGCCGTTGGTGGGAGAGGGTTGGGGGGGCTGCATTCCCGATGCAAGGCGGCGGGTCCTCTGCATTCATTCAACCGCCCACATCTCGTTCTCCTGGTGCATCCCATGCCGCTCGATCGAGGTGAAAGTTACGATATTATCTGTGATACATTTTTACACCTTGGCTAGGTAGATAGATACCCAGTCTGCATGTGACCGAGTTTGTCAACATCCCATCCAAGCAAATTGTGACGCCACATGCGCACCCCGATCAACGAGGGGCTTCTCGCTCTCACCGGCCAAGGCAACATTCAATAGTGCGATATGTCCTCCCTCATATTTTGCATTATCTACAGTGTAAAAAACAGGGGGCATCGATCAGAGTCAAGCAGTGGGATCTCCGATTTGTCCAGCCTTCTTCTCCAGACAGCGAATATGTCGACCCATTCGGATTGTCCAACATGATCGAACCAGTGTTCCCCGAACAATCTGACAATATTCAACCAAAAAAAAACCCAATGGGTGTCATGACTACTGAGGGGTTGGAAAGTCACGGCATATCAAGCTCACCGAGTGGTGTTGTGTGAGTGTGTACTGGCTGGCACCCTTAGCCTCACATGAAACCAGGGACCACGAATATGCTGCTTCATCTCGAGCTACACAGCTGGCCGTAGGTAGGTAGGTAAGACAGTAAGTAAGTAGTACACTCTATCATCAAAGGTCCTAACTACAAGGGCAAGGGGACGGCAAGTTAATTCACATTTCCACATGAGCAGTTGTCTGAACAAAATTATAAAAGACTATTAAACATTATTATTTTCCAATACCATTATGTATATATATCCGTATCCGTTTTTTTCTACGTTTACGTGGCCATTTTTTTCGTCTGTGCTACGATCTACAACCTACCACAACCCATTGAGAGTACAACGAAAGAGAGATTTGTGTGAGAAAAAATGGGGAAAGAAGATGGAGTAAGAGATGTGGAACTACCACATACTCGAAGCCCTCGTCATATTTCCATTCTTCTCAATCCTCTCAATCACCCTCTCCAGATCCTTCAGCTGCCTTTTATTCAGCTTCTTGATCTTGCTCTCCACCTCCGGGACAATCCCATCCCGCAGGAGGGTGTTGGCCGTCTCAGGCTGAACAGCCGAGAGGATATTGTCCTGGATGTAAGAGGGCTCGTCGGCGATGGCCGCACCGATCTCCTGGGCTTGAGTAAGGGTGAGATTGGGGTGGGTGTTGAGGAAGCCGACGAGGGAGGTGGACATCTGACGGCTTCTAAGGCGCGTGCGAGGTCCGGGGGATTGGAGGGTGGTGGGGGAAATTGTGGTGGTAGGAAGGATGCGCTGCTGTGGGTTAGTAATGACCGGGTAGGTGTTGAAGTTGAGCGGGAAGCCGGTGAGATTCCCCATCCCCATCTCCATCCCCATCATGTTGAAGTCAGGGATCTGGTAATTGAAGTTACCCATGACAATGGGGTTGGTGTTGAGGTCAGTGTTGAAGGGGATGTTGACCGGAGTAGGAGTAGAGTCGACGGAGGTGTCGATGGAAGCAACCTTGCGACCCCTAGGCCTCTTGGTAGGCCTAGGGTTGTAAGTAATGCTATCCTGAGTGTCGCTTTCCTCCTCCTCCTTGTCATCATCATGGGACCGCCGCTTGTTGACGTTGTTTTTTCCATCCCGCATCTTGGCTTTGATGTGCATGAAACGTTCCAGGTTACCCTTGTGAATACCAATGTGTGCACCACCGCGGTTCTCACGCATATTCACCCTGTGCGATACCTCATGGGAAAGGTGGTACATGGTGAGCTTGTACCCGAGGGTAGTGTGGTGAGAAGGTGGGCTAGGGATATGGAAGCCGTCATGATCAGCCTGTGCCATAAAGAGTAGATCACAGCGCTGCTTGTTGTCCCGCAGCCATTGATAGTAGGCATTGAGCATCTGGGGGTGATCGCGGAGTAGAGACATGGGATTTCTGGACTCGATGGGGAAGGTCCGCACATCGGGCTTGATTTGAAATCCATACTGGGCAGCGCCGTAGTGAATAAGGTAGGCAAGATCAAAAATCTTTTCAAAGCAGTGAAGATGCATGTAGCCTGCATTGTGAAAGGGATCGAGATGGAGACCGGTCTTGTCGGAGAACTCATCAAAGGCAATTCGGAGAAAACCCTTCCAGATGGTGAACTTACCGGGACAATGCTTATACCGGCACTTAGCGGAGTTACCGCCCATGGCGTACCGGCCGTTGACCTGAGAAGGTGAGTTCTGGATCCAAAGGGTGAGTTTTCTCTCCGGGTTGGGGCACTCAGTACCCTTCATGAAGAGGATGAGTTCATCCTGGGTGAATCGCTTGGCCGGATTCAACTCGACGTAATACCTGCAGTACTCAAAGAGATGTTCAGTAACCCTAGCGTGCTTGATAAGAGGGCCCCAGGCTTGAACAGTGGGGGGCTTCTCGTAGATGTCGGCAGGGTCCTCGTTCTTGACCTTTCCGTCGTTCCTGCAGCTGAGAATGATCTTCTTGCCCTGGCGAAGCTTGTCCGACAAGGTTCGAGGTTTGTTTTGAGGGCCCATGAGGTTTTGAGTTGCGGGGGTTTCAGTGACGAGGTCTTGGGTGTTACCAGAAACCGGGGAGGGAGCCCTAAAGATATCGTAGAAAGAATTCATGGCGTTAGAGTTCCACACCTGCTGAGCAGTGTTTTGAATGATGGTGTTGTTATCGGAACCAAAGATGAAAGTGTTCCGCTGAGCAGTTTCAGTGGTGGGAGGGTTCTGGGCAACCTCCGGGAGTGTGAGAGTAGGTTGAGATGTGGTCTCCGATGAGTCCAAGTCCGGGTAGATCGAGTCATAGACATCGTCAACGTAGTTGGAGAAGAGGTCATCATGACCATACTCTGATCCGAGGGTGGTATCCATTTTGGTGGTTGATGGGGTACGAGTGTGAAAAGTATCGCCTGCAATACTTGAG